TATATATTTATTTTATGCCTGAAATAGTCTCCACAGGTATTGACTTTGTGCATTCATTAACATACAGAACAATCAGTGCAAAGAGCCACGATGATAAGTTTATAGGATGCATTTAGTGTCTTTCCATTACTTTAAGAAACAATGGTTATAGTAAAAGCATATAGTTTTTTTTATCTGAAGTATATAGTAAAGCCTGGAACAAGGTAATCATGCAAAATAGTCTTTTTATTTGTGAATGAAACAAATCGTTGTTTAGCTTTGATTGCGCTTTGCCATTCACATGAACAGAATCAACGCTTTGGGGTTTCCTTACCTGGATGATTGAGCATGCATCAAGACATTTAACCCACTTTGACAAGTGCAGCTCAAATTATTTAGGTTCTGTCCACATGGTGTGGAAAAAATAAACTGTGACGTCTCTCCGATATCAACTGCTAACTAAGCAGAGGCTCAAAGAGGGATAGTATTACATTAAACAGATTCCCCCAACACACACGTACACACTCGCACGCTGAGTCAACTTGACCTACAAAACCAGTTTGAAAAGTAGAAAATGGGTTTTAAATTCATTTTAGATTTGTATTTTCTTTCTATGTATGCTTAGTTTGTACTAAATTAACTTAAAAATAATCTTTCTCTTACTTTGGTCATTGGTGCAGTCTCTCAGTTCACCCCGAGTCTGAAACGAGCTGTTTTAAGCTCCCTTTAAGCCACCTGTCTTCTAACTGGCTGCTGCCTGTAAACAGAGCCTGCTGGGTGGGGTACTATGCACAGCCAGTGCTGTGTTCCTTAGATAGTATGATAGGAATACCACTGTCATTGACATCATCTAGAGATAAGGATAAAAAAAACAAAATCTGACATGGAGCCTTTAGATGCAGCCGGTTCTTTTGTCTCAAAGAAACTCTTTAAACGCACATTTCCTTTCTGTAGTTTGCACAAGTGCACATACACATGCCTTTAACATGTATCAGGATGGTATCACAAACACACAATGTATGCATACGGTGCATAAATAACTATCCATAAGTGATCTAGCCTTGTGTTACTTCTGAAGTGTTCTTGTATTTCATATCACATCATCACTGTGGACACCCGACACAACTAAAATGACTAACCTAATTAAAAGGTCACTCATTCAAGTACTCGGGAATAGAAATGTACAGTGTATGAATGCTTGGTGTCAATAGACTTGGACGGGTGTGTGGAGGGGCTGTCAGGTGTAGGTTCCACTTACAGGGAGGTGAGACTTGGAGGCCCAAATTGCATTCATTTGTAAACTTTAAGTGCATACTGCATAAAATAGGAACACGATACTTCAGTATGACCTTGCACCGTAAACTTTACTCCTCTTGCTGTAGGAGGAAAAGGCATTTTAAAAAAAGCTGCAAACATTCATCTGTTGCGTTAGTTTGTGACTCGGCTGAAACAGGCCTTGAAATGCAGGCTGATATGGATATACTGTGAGACAGAAGTAAACCACTTCCTCTATCATGCTTCCCAGAATGCACCCTGCCAGATGTGGTTATATACAGTAGTAGTACAGCTTCCAAGGTTAGGACTTTTCCCATAACCCTCCAGCTCTGTGAATCTCAACACACACTACACTATATTTTTCTCCTGACCCAGCTGGTCAGTGGGAGCTGCAAGTAGAACAGTTGGCTTCCGTGCTGTTTTCAGGACGCAGATATTTTTCATTTTTTTAATTTTATTTGCTCTGAGCCGTGTCTCAAGTTTCCTTTAGAATTGATATGGAAGGGAGCTTAAATGTGAAACTAGTATGGGTGTTTTGCTAGGCAAACTGCTAAATGCATTCATGTATTATTTCAATTAGATGGGAAAACCGGCAACAAAGCTTTAGAAAACTTTCTCCATTAAAATGGCACGAAGGGTCTAAAGTAAGCATGTGTGAGTGTTTCGGGGGAGGAATAGTAATTGAGACGCTACTGTCTGCTGCCAAACTGTTCGGTAGCAGAGACCTGAGCCCCCCTTTGGGCCACTCAAGGATTTAAAGGGAAGGTCTGTCTTTCTTGCGGAGTGTGGGGAATGTGACTGGCACAAAGTGAAGGCCCCACCAGGTGTTCTGCTGCATGCACATCCCTTGCCGTGACGCACACTCTCCTGTACAAACACAGATTTTCATGCGATTCTGTTTCAGGTCTTTTGGATGCCGTGTGCTGCGTGCGTAAGCGCGCACGTCGGCTCCCGTCTGTAGATGAAAGAAATGCGATCCCTCTCGCAGCTCCTCCAGGAAAGCAGATTCCATGACTGTAACAGTGATGCTGAGAGGCTTCCAGCGATTGGGATGTGATACTTTGACAGAGACGTTATCCAGGAAATGGTTTGGCTTTGGCTTCAAATAACACGCAAGCCTGTTTTTGGGGATAGTTTGAGACGTATAGAATAAAAAATACTTTTTAATATTAAGGAAGTTACTGAGTCGAAGCATACACAAGGAGGTATTAAGCAAAGTAAAATTCTGAAACTTTTATTTAAAGAGTAGAGTTTGAAGCTAGAGATAATTGCGTATTACAGTTTGTTGTGGAGGAAGTAGTGCAAAAAAAGATGTTTGGGGTAATTTAAGATGGTCTGTTCAGCCGAGCAGCTCCAAAGCACGTTCCAACAAACATAACAGAGTCGGGGGTGTCATGGCGTGGTCAATGGAGGACTAACAGAAAAGCGATGGGGCCCATAGGAAGTCTGAAAAGCTGATTTCAACCCTGTGCCCTCATACAGATGGAATTACACAGCAAGTAATACAAGAGTTAAACACTGAATAGTTGTTAAATGAGTATTTAGAATATTTACTTAACAGTTAAATAAAGAAAATAAAGAGTTACCAGGCATCTAAATAGTACGAAGCACAACATTTGCATGGCAAAATATGATTCAGTAGACGTAGAAATACAAGTACATTAAAACATTACCTGTAAGTACTTGAGTGCATGTACTGTTGGATCCTGTGAGTCGGTCCTGCTCATGCTTTCATCCACTGGTGCTGGCCACGTGCCTGATAGTAGGGATGTAGTTGTGGAGATGAGGGAAGCTTAATTTAGGGTCAATGACTTATCTTAAGCAAGTGACTAGTACTGTTTTGAGGATTTATACTCATGCTGATGTTCCCGTGGTGCTTTGCTGAATGCACTAGTCAGCAGTAGGGATTCTCAGCCAGATGTCTTGTCATTTGAAATGTCAAACAGTTGAAGTGAATGTGGTGTGCATGCTTGGAAGTGTTATGTATGCAGAGAAATCAGCTGAAGCGTAGAATTTAACTGTCAAATGTTGTGACATTTGACGACTTTTGGCCCTCAAAGCACTGGAATCGCCAAAAGTTAAGGCAAGTACATGTTAACTAAAGGCAGTATGAGCCTATGTCTCACTGAACATTAGACTTATTAATCATTTATTTGAAAAGAAAAGAAAAGTGTGACATCAAAAACAAAGGTCCAGTATTAATGACTGAGATATTAAAGTGAAAATATCATTAATCTTATTTTCAAGCTTCGTATTTTAATTCTTGAACTCCTGAAATTAAAAAAACGAAACCACTGGGAAACTGTCAGAGCGCTCGGCTTAAAACCTGAGCCTTTGGATCACAGGAACTAGTTTTGCATTCGCTGACCTAGTAATCTGAAACTCTCCATGTTTAACATGAACATCCACCAGCTGAACAGTACATGTACATGACAAATTTAGAGGCTGCTTTCTTTCAGCGTTGCATTTACATCGACAGTGACAAGGTGGGTGTTTACTTTCCTGAATAGGAACATTTTGTGGTGATTAATTGGTCAGGTTGTGAGAAATGAGTTGAGAAGCATTTCCCAGAAAGCCGTTTATAAGCTTTTACAGGGTGGATGAATGTTCTTCAAACTTTGGGATTAAGTTGTTAATATTCACATAATCCATCCTTAAAGAATTGAATAGTGCAGCTATCAATGCTTTTATGATGCAACTGTTGACTTCAACAATAGAGACTCATGGATTTGGGACAGAGGATGTCCAGACTTGACATGTGCAGACTATACTTATAACATCTCTTATGGAACGAACTGTCTCAGGATAAATACTCAGCAGAGAAGTGCTGCTATCTTGATATTTGGTCGTCATCTTCATGAGCTCTTAGTTATGAACATAAATCTTTTTGCACGGTTTAGAAGAAGTGATGTATTCTTCCTTAGCTTTTGCTTTTTCCACATTTTGAGCCTCCCTGAGTTGCTGCTGGCACATAATTATAACTGTGAAAGTGTTTTCTCTGTATTTCTGCAGCTACAGGGTTTGAGCTGCTCCCATGACTGCTCAGCTGAACCCTCCAAATGCACATGGGGTCATAATCCTATCAGGTAGTCAGGGCAAATATCTTTGTTGCACAGTGGACAAAAACTATGTTCAGCTTATTAAGACTGTTTGAACTCCACAGGCTTGTCGTTGGCTGGAGGTGGATGCGTAGGCCTGTACAGGGATGTATTGGTAAAGCAGTGCTAGTCCCCGGATACCTCACACAGAATGCAGGACATGACACTCTGGCTATATGAGACAACATGCTGACCTCTGCAATTTACGTTTGAAACGTGACCTTGCAGGAACTACAAGGGTGTTTCCAGACAGCGATGCAAAATGAATACTTGAAAGATGTCACTGCAGTCGCAAACATGACCAGAACGGAGCAGGGCATAAGCACCTCATCTTTTTGTAATTATTATAACAAAGTAATCTCGTCACCTTTGACAAATATTGAAGTCTTTCCTGGCGGTTATTTGTGCATTTATTTTAAAATTGTATCTAAATTGACTTTAATTTCAGAAATCACCAGGACATTAAAACTCTATATAGAATATCCAGCTAAACCTGGGGAACAAAACAAAACTTTAGTTTGCTGACTTTGCACCAAATGATAATCTCACCTTTCCCTCGCTGACAGATATACTTCTGTGAACTCTGTAACAAGTTCTTGGTCTTCTTCCCCTGTGTCTGTTTCTAAAAATCTGTTTTCTTTTATTCAGCTGAACACTGCACAAATGCTGGGAGTCCCGTGCTGACTGTTTGGAAGGAGAGGATAAAAAAGCGGGAGAGCAAAGGTGGAAGAAAATGATTAAAGGAGACTGGACACACCGGTCATCAACTGGGCAGATGGGTGAGAAAGAGGATGAGCGTACGGCTCAGGCCAGCCAGCTATTTGAGAACTTTGTCCAGGCATCTACCTGTAAAGGGACTCTGCAGGCTTTCAGCATCCTCTGCAGGCAGTTGGAGCTGGATCCACTGGACCACAGCAACTTCTATAACTCACTGAAGGCGGCAGTCAGCACCTGGAAAGTCAAAGCCCTTTGGACCAAACTGGACAAGAGAGCTCAGCAAAAGGTCTACAACCAGAATAAGGCCTGCCAAGGCACGAGGGTAAGAAAGACCAAGCACGACTGACCTCTGAAGGTTCTGAAGTGGTTGTGCGATGTTGTTCTGATGGTGTTGAAGGCTGTTGAACAGCAGTAAACACATGATCCAAACTCTGAGGAGTAGAATTAATATAAATCGATGACTGAGATGCATGCAGAAACATTTACTTAGTGTAACCTGTGTTTTTAAGTATTATTTGCTCAAAAACATTATGGAAGTTCACATATGCATTTCATGTGATACAATAAGGATCTCCTCTTTGGTATTTTCTGTCACGTGAGTTTTGTCTCGCCATAAACGAATGGATATTCTGAGCACCGTGTTTAACGCAGCACTGGAAAGCTCATTTCTGAAGGAGAAGATAAGAAGTCTGGAGGGAAATGAGGCCAGAGACTCACAGAGGGGAGATTAACACAGAAGGGCTGGGTTGAGAGTTGGCCAAAAATAACAGAAACTATTATTTCAGGCTTTTTTTTTTTTTCCAGGAGAAAAATGGTGGGCCTAAGGCTGGGTGGGCGATCTCTCTTTTAAAACTGTATCTATTCTCAAAATGAGGGCAGAGGATTTAGCAGTTTGGGACTTTGTAGAGTTCTGTGAATCTATCGGTTTTTCTTTGTTCTTTTTAATAAGGTAGCCGTTAGAAATGTACCCTAACAAAAATTATCCAAATTGCTGTGCTAATTGTTTGGCTACGTAATTTCCTGTGTAGCTGTAAAATAGCTGCGTGCCAATCTGGAAATGAAGCGCTGACTGTGATTATGTCTGCTGCAAGACATTTGAATGATGCTTTCCCACTCCAGCTGCAATCTTCTCCCATTCAGTGTTTGATCATCGGCGGCGGTCCGTGTGGCCTTCGGACGGCCATCGAGCTGACTCTGCTGGGCTGCAAGGTGGTGGTGATTGAAAAAAGAGACACCTTCTCCAGGAACAATGTGCTCCACCTCTGGCCCTACACCATTCACGACCTCAGGGGACTCGGAGCCAAGAAGTTCTACGGAAAGTTCTGTGCTGGCTCCATCGACCACATCAGTGAGCGTGCACACATCATTTGTCTCCTTTTTTTTTTTTTTTTTTTAAGCTTTGACGATAATCTGCCAAACAAACAGCGCAGCAGACTTGTTGAAGTTGACTGAAAGTTAAACTGTGACACATTCTTTGATTTTTAGCTCTAGGAAGGAAGACTCATCCTAATTCTTTTCAAATGGCTCCAATTTATGATTGAATGATTCATCTGCTTTTAAAGTTATTTACTGACCAGGTTCTAAATGGTTGTAATAGGAAACAAAACACGAGTCCCATGGTATCTTGATAATATAGTCATGAAACAATCTCATTTGAGACATAAGAAAAATGAATTAAAATTCAGTTGTTCTGCCTGTCTGAAATTTTATTAAGCTATAATAATATTTTGGGAAATTTTCCATCTTTTATCTCTTAATGTGGTTTTTGTGAGTGTATTTCTGGAGATCTGAGGAAGTGCAGTGCCAGCTTTGATGTCGGGCTTGTACTTTGGCTGAAAGTTGGTACCATCCTTTAGCCCAGAGGAAGTTGCTACTTTCTCCACTCTGTGTGTAAGGGGTGGGGCACAGACATTAGTGGATGCCCAGGGTTCTTACCCCTTAGTCTTAACTAAACGTGAATTTCCTATGCCAGCTGAAGAGGTGTCAGATTATAAAACAAGTCTGGCAAAAGTTCTACGTTATAGAACATTTAATCGCTCTGAAAAATTTCTAATATTGGTTTGATAATTTTTTAATGTAATGTATTCATTCTAATCTGATTTTTCAAATTCTAATCAAATTTCATTTCTAATGTTATTTTTGTTTGGAGCGGTATCTTTATGATTTCTTGCATGTGATGCGTTTGAAGCACATTTGTAAAAATAAAATGGGCTGTAAAGTCCTCAGAGTGGCAGCGCAGTAGTGCTTTAACAGAGAAAACATGCAAAGTACTGTGAAGCCATAACATGTAAATGGTTCCTGCCTCTGAGTAAGTGCACTGTGTGTGTGTGAGAGAAATCACTACTGTGCAGTAAATGTGATGTTGTCTGGCCACAAAACCAAAGCCAACGTCACAGAAGTGGATGTGTGACTGTGTCATGTGAGAGGATTGTTTTTCCTGCAGCCTGACTTGCTGCAGTTTGCAAGTAGCGGGGTGATTGGGGCTCAAGAGTTGGCAGTTCGTCTTGTAATCGGAAGGCTGCTGGTTCGAGCCCCGGCTTGGACAGTCTCCGTCATTGTGTCCTTGGGCAAGACACTTCACCCGTTGCCTACTGGTGGTGGTCAACCTCGCCTCTGTCAGTGCGCCCCAGGGTGGCTGTAGCTATAATGTAGCTTGCCATCACCAGTGTGTGAATGGGTGAATGACTGTATGTAGTGTAAAGCGCTTTGGGGTCCATAGGGACTAAGTAAAGCGCTATTCAAATACAGGCCATTTACCATTCAGTTCCATTCGCACTTGTTGCGCTCCAGCTTTAGCAACTGTCATGTATCTCATTTCAAAGATGAGGTCTGCTGACTCTCTTCACTTTTTTTTTTTTCTCATCTGTACTGTACGGGCGTTCTTTGCTAATGCATGTGAGTACAGTGTAAATGCTTCGGCATATCAGATTCTTACAGTAGTGTAGGGGGAATCTTCTTCCAGCTGCTACAGCAGATCATCTGCCTCCATCTCATCCTATCCCTAGCATCCTCCTCCGCCACACCCACCCACTGCATGTCCTTCTCCTAACTTTAATTCATTCTGGAGCACAAGTGGAAACATGTACAAACAACTCGCATTATATTATTCTAAAAACTAAAAAATCATGCTTATGTTGATTTTAAATTTTGACTCATTGAGAGTCTGTTGCCATGTCTCTGCAAGTATCTACTCTTGTCAGTCTGTTTTATGGTCTGTTTGGTTGCAGTACTCTGTTGTACCAGATTTGTATGTGACAGATCCACACAAGTACGGTGTCCTTGTCTTTGTTGCTTTGGATTCATTCAGTCGCAGCAGCAGCAAAGCTCTATTTTTATAATGTGTCAGCGGTTCTTCGACTTTTGTGACATGGCCTACTTAAGAAGCATAAAAAGGTTCAAACCCCCAAACTATTTATTTCATGAATAAATAACATTTAAAAACTCATCTGAGTCCAATTTCAGCAAAATAAACATCAGCACGAAAGCATCAGTAAACCACATTCCATACCAAAGGTTGTATATATTAAACTTAGTTATATTTGTTCCCCTGCTCATCAACACCCAGATTTTGGGGGTTTTAAACCATTTTTGGTTATTGGTTAATTAGTGCTAAATGACAATAAACGAAAAGCCACCTGTTTTTAAGCCTTCCTAAAGTTTAAGGGTTAGTTGTTGAAAATCCACCCACCATAGCGTTGTTATGGAGGCTTTAGAGCACAGCTTACAGCCTGTAAAGTTCATTCTAACTTTAAAATCCACCCTGGAATGGGCTCGGGTCAATTTTGGCACTTCTCTGTTGGCATAATTTCTATTTATCCCTGTAAGTTGCTGCTTGGTTAGAAGAATGCCTTTTTTATAATCATGGATCTTGGAGGACGTGGGCTTTTTTTAAATTTCCCAGTTTTATTCTGGAGATTTAATTGATGTGTGTCAATAACTACTTAGTATGTAGAATTGCTGTTTTTTGCCAGTAGAAATGGTTCTTTTCTTGGTTTGCTCTGTGAACATGCTTGTCTCTTTGCCCCTGCTCCAGGTATCCGCCAGCTTCAGCTGATGCTGGTAAAAGTGAGCTTGATCCTTGGTGTCGAGATTCACGTCAATGTTGAGTTCATCAAACTGCTGGAGCCACCAGAGGAGCAGACAGATGTCGGTGAGTATGTCATCATGAACAAATTCATTACACCAGTGTGTGAGTCAGTGCATTGCTCTACTATGAAGCCATTTTCAGTTCCAAAGTCAGTAAGTATCCTCACAAATACAGAAAGACAAGTGTGTCTGTGGGTGTGTATTTGTGGTATTATCTGTATGTTAAAGTGTCACGAGTGGCAGTGACATGCTGGGACCCGCCTGCATATCTTGGCTATATAAGGAAAGTTCCCTACACACAGTGCATGTTAAAATGATCGCACATTTGAAGTGTATATAGAGTATTTCTAATAAACTGTGTGGAGAATAAAGATAAACTGAGTGTGCTGTTAAATTTTAGTTGAAGTCTGTGCTGCGTTTTCTGAATGTCTTAAAATAGCATGTCCCACACAGCATGTCCAGAAACTTTCTCCCTCTAACACTCCAAGGAACATGACACAACTATGTGACACTGAGAGGGTAGTTGAGATCCAACCTCATCTGCTCTGTTTTGTATTTTTCTTTAAAATCAGCACTTGAGCGTGCCTTCCTGCCTTCCTGCCTTCCTGCTTGTGTTTTCTTGCACTGTCCTTGAATATCATATATGGTTCCTTGTGTTCTTCCTCAGGTCATGGTTGGCGGGCAGAGATCCGACCCTCTGGCCATCCTGTCTCGGACTTTGAATTTGACGTGGTGATTGGAGCTGACGGACGCAGAAGCACATTAGATGGTGAGAAAAGATTATAGGTTACAGATGCGAGTGGTGCTGTGGGTCATACTTTGTTATGGGCCTACATTTCAGGAGTCAAAGCTCCGTTTGTTTGTTTTTTGTGGAAATGAGGTGAGGTGGTGCAAAGCTGCTTTCGGCCACTTGGTAAAGCATTTCCTGCTGACATAGTTTCAGCTGGAGGCTTAATGGTGCGTATGGGGTCAGAGGGGTGTTCTGGTTCATGAACTGTTGGAGAGCTTTGTTGGCTTTGTCAAAGCATACAAGTTGCAGTGTTTATTTTCTGCTCGTGTGTGAGTGTGTGTGTGGCATATGTGTGTTATGAACATGTTTACTTTCCCATAAAGATGACTAATGGGAAGCATCATCCTCCTGAAGGTTTGGTGTCTCCATGACTGCAGAGAAACTCTTTCAACTGCATGTTGCTCCGGGACTTTCCTCCAAGGAATATTCTAAATAGGATTATAATGGTCGACTAGTAGGAGGGGGGGGGGGGGATGTTTGTGCAAATTATTTGTTAGGGAAAGAACAACATTATGACTAACTCCTGACTGTCATCTACACTAGATAACTTAAGAATTGCAGCTTCTGTATTAAAAATATTAAATTCCCCAATGGTTAGGCCCTGCAGGGATTTTCTTCAGACTTGGAGTAATTCCACATATCCATGATGAGGATGGCAAAGAGTCTAAGAAGCTTGGAAAGAAAAGCGTCTGGACTTCTTTAAGTTGCTTGAAGACGTTTCATCTCTCATCCAAGGAGTTTGTGCAGTTCTAGGGTCAAATGGTGGAGAGTCCCAGATTTATCCTCTACCTAATCACACGAGCCAAGGTGTGAAAACGGGTGTAGATCACCATCAACCAAGGTTTCGGGTGAGCTCATTGTGAAACCTAGCCCCACCCTATCATGTGATTTCCTGAGGTCAAAAGGCCCAGGATGTGATGTTAAGGCGTCTGGGAAGGGATCTCAACACTGGATGGCAGACAGTTGGTGTCGTAAACCACCGCCTCTGTTCAAAGATGGCCGTTCACAGTGGACATAGATGGCTTCTTTCACTCCTCTTTCAAACCGTCGGTCTTCTCTGTCCAAAATGTGAACATTGGCATCTTCGAAAGAGTGTCCTCTGTCCTTTAGATGCAGATGGACCGCTGAGTCTTGTCCCGGGATAAAGGATGTGATGTACACTTGGAGCCTGTTTGATAAGTACTTTTGGATTTTGGAGAGTAAATTAGCAGTATTGAGGGAATAATATCTACATGCTCCCTCTCATTCAGAGTATTATAACATTTATTGTCAAAAGTATGCAGATGACCCACAACTCTACACATCAGTGTCACCACATGATTGCAGTTCCCCTACACTTAAACAAAAAGTGCATTAAGCAAATCGGTGGTTGTTTTCACCCCCAAAGAAAACAGCCTATCTAGAAAACATGATGCACAAATTCAGCCTTACATCAGAGGTGCTGGAGCCTATCCCAGCTGTCATAGGCCAAGACGCAGGGTATACCCTGGACAGATCTTCAGTCTATCACAGGGCTGGCACAGAGACGCACTCACAGAAACACCTATAACCACTTGAGACACCAGTTATTTTAACCCCATGCATGTATTTGGGGAGGAAGCCAGAGTACCTGGAGACTCCACAAAAGGCATCTCTTGTAAATCCAGCCTGGATTCAAACCCAGGACCTTATTTCTGTGAGGCAACAGTGCATTTCCCTACCGTGCTAGTACCATAGGAAAAATATTGGAAAAATTAAAGGTTTTCAGTCTGAAGCAGATGCAGAAAATCTTGCTTGCACAGTATTCAAATGATCACATCTTCAGCGGATTATTGTAACTGTGTCTTTACAGGTCATAGTAAAACTACAGCTCATTCATAATTCTGCAGAAATCTAACAAACATCAAAAAGATGGAGTGCATTACTCAGTAAAAAATAAATCACTGCATTCCCTTTGAATAACTTTTAAAATCATTCTCATGTGTAAAGCACTAAATGGACTCTTACTGAGTTACATTTTTACTTCACCCTTTGCCTTACAAAACATCCAGATCACTGAGGTCATCAGGAGCAAGCTTACGGTTTTCCCACTATTGGAACAAACAAAGTGAAGCTTTGTGTGGATTGTATTTTCAATACTTTTGTATTGATTTTCCAACTTCAGGAAATAATAAATGATTTGAAATGTTTGAACCCTTTTTTTTTTGTTTTTTGTTTTTCCTCCCCCACCTCTGCAGGTTTCAGGCGCAAGGAGTTTCGTGGGAAGCTGGCCATCGCTATAACGGCTAACTTTGTCAATAGGAACACAACAGCAGAGGCCAAAGTAGAAGAAATAAGTGGCGTGGCCTTCATCTTTAACCAAAAGTTCTTTCTGGAACTCAAAGAGGACACGGGTGAGTCAGGAAAGAATGTTGCAGTGGGAAAATGACAGCTTCTCCCGCTCTAAATGCTGCTCCTTCCTGCGCTAAACGTCCTCTGTTAAGTAAATATGTTCATGTTTGCAGGAATCGACTTGGAGAACATAGTTTACTACAAAGACAACACCCACTACTTTGTCATGACTGCAAAAAAGCAGAGCCTGCTGGACAAAGGGGTCATCATTAATGTAAGTTTACTCAGCTGACTTTGATTTAATCAGACACACAAACATAGATTCGACTCTTCCAGACTCCAATGGGTCACAGTTCACACCCTCCCTCTGTGGTTAACCCTGGCTCCAGGATTCAAAGGCCGTTCCCAAACAGGAATGCGTGCGTGCTCGCCAGACCAGTGAGTGACGGGTCGGCATAGAGGAGGTTGATGAATGGGGTTCTAATTAAACGCTCATGCGCTACACGCACGCGCGCGCACACACACACACACACACACCATTAAAGAGATTAGACATTATAAATGTGGTTATTACAGTTGCATTAGGACATCAACTGGATCATATTGGAAAGGCTCCATGTGACCCTCAGTCTAACCACCCAGTAATGTCTGCCAAACCAATTATCTGAAAACACACACACACACACACACACACACACACACACGTAAAGAGATAAGACAGTATAAATGTGGTTATTACAGTTGCATTAGGACAT